ATGATGGCTACTCCATTTCTTCTAAGGGATTCCTGCCCACAGTAGTAGATATAATGGTCATCTGAGTTAAATTCACCCATTCCAGTCCATTTTAGTTCACTGATTCCTAGAATGTCGACGTTCACTCTTGCCATCTCCTGTTTGACACTTTCCATTTGCCTTGATTCATGGACCTAACATTCCAGGTTCCTATGCAATATTGCTCTTTACCGCCTCGGACCTTGCTTATATTACCAGTCACATCCACAACTGGGTATTGTTTTTGCTTTGGTTCCATACCTTCATTCTTTCCTCATGACTAGCAGAAAATATTTATTAAAATATGTGCTTGATTGCATTGAATGCCCCCTTCACCAAAGTATTATATACTGACCTCCCCCAGTGCCTCTTTGGAATCGTCTCTCGAGCTGAGATGCTGTCTCCCAGGCTGCAGTCCTCATTTTCTCCCAAACAAAACTTACTTTGCAACTCTCACATCGTGCATCTTTTTTAGTTGATGGGATGAAATGGGAAACTATGTTCACTTCAGATTTATTCAATCTGACAAAATGGCTTCCTTTTACTCTATATGAATCTCCTCAAAGGAAGACCATAAAAATTATTATAATTGTCAATTCCAACAAATGAAATTTCCTAGACAAAACCAAAATCCTCTTAGTTTTTATTATTATTGCACAGAACCAGGACATTAGAAAATAGATTGTTAGAAATGTAAGTACTGAAGATACCTTAAACCCTCTAACCAGCTTTCCAATATACAACAGTTCTTAGTGGTGGGTCTCTTTGGAACTAGAGGGCTTCTTCCCAATCCTCCTTCTTTATTACCTTGGAGAAACATTTTTACAATGAGAGGAAATATATCTTCCAGTCCTATTTGATACCATACTCTCAGATCTCAAACTCACCACCATAAAACAGCTCTGCTTTAGAGTAATAAAACAGCTCAAATAGTGAGGATCTCTAATGAACCTCAAGAAGTTCTGAACATATCTCTTCTCTTTAACCCTTTAAGAGATACACACCCTTTTCTCCTTAGTTCCTCTTGTTGTTTTGTGGTCTCTAAGTCATGTCCACCTCTTTGTGACCCCATTTAATATAGCCTGCCAGGCTCCTCTGTCCCTAAGGTTTCCCAGGCAAGAAATACTGGAGCAGGTTGCCATTTCCTTCTCCAGTTGATCTTCCCAACAGGCATCAAACTCATGTCTCCTGCCTTGGCAGGTGGATTCTTTACCACTGAACCACCTATTCATTTATTTGGCTGTAAGTAAGCAAGCCCCTATCCATTCATTAGCCTGAAACTTCTCAGACAAGTATG